AAGGACCAGATGATTTTTATTATGTCCTGATACGTAAAACCACAGAACTCAAAGAGGGTGTGCTTTCTTTTTCACACGACTGTATATGCCCACCATGCTATCTTCATTTATCTGAAAACAGCATTTGATACAATTCTGGCTTAAAGGTTTACAAGAAATTAGCAGCAATCAAACCTTGCTTGTTTGTCATATATTCCTAATGATTATATTACTCCATGATAATTCTTATGCTAATAACACAGAACAATGCTGATGATGCTGTCACCCTTGTTTTGAATATGCCAGCATTTGCAACCAAAAAAGCTTACAATTAATTATTCAAAAACAAGTTATTCACCAAAAAGAAGCTCCAACTACTAACATAAGAACAAACCAAGTGATTTAAATAGTGGTCCTTTACTTGAAAACAACAAATTTGAGAACTTTCATCTTATGCACAGAGGCTTCAAACATGATCATTAGATGTGTTAGTCAAACAGGCTTTTGTTTTAGCAGCAGTTGAAAACTTTAGAGCTAAATTTTGCTTTTATTCAACAATGTGTAATTCTGCCCTTATAAAGACATATCACCCTTAGAAGCAGTTCAATACAGATTCTCCACACTTCTCAATTCTCCCTAACACTCCAAGATTTTATTAGGATTCCCTTCTCTATCTTACCATATGAGAATCTGTCACTTAAGATATTGGTTGAAAGTAAATTTTGAGATTTTGGCCCAACTCATCCTTGTAGACAAATTCTTTAAGAAAAAAGTTAAAGCTAATGGTCTCCCCTGCTACAGCCTGTCAGTGTAAGTGCTAAAGGCAATGGTTCCAGAGAAAAGCATTTCTGAAGTTAAACAATGCATTCTGGAACTTGAACGATGAATTGAAAGATCTAAAGTTTAAATCATGCCTCAGGGAGCTTTTATCATAATTCTTTTATTAATTTTTTTAATTCTCATTTAAATTATTTTTTAAAGATCCCCTCCTCTTCAAACAAAAAGGCATCCACACTCACAAGTTTTAATGCCGTACCCTCAAAGTTAGCAAACAGGTAGCTTAATAACATCCCTTGTTCAGTTCTTCACTGCATACACTCAGAAGTAGCCACTGAAACAATAGCTAATGTCCTGTTGCATTGTCTACTGTATCAGGTCTGGCAGTCTACACTGAAAGATCCCCTTCTTATTAAGTGTATATTATGATTGAGACCAAGGTTACCCAGTACTTACTAGCTGAAATGTCTAAGAAACTTGATAAATTTTGCCCCAATGTAATTACCATCAGAAACTAATTAGTTTAAACTCACTATGGTTGGTCACTGCTTAGGGAACAAAAATGATGCTTTCTAATGGCAGCCTTTATACAATATTGCTTTCTGGATACGGGTATATTTCACTTTATCTTGCCTGCCTTTTATCTTATCTTACCTGTTTTATATGTATGTATTCTTGTCTGGTCAGCCAGTGTGATGTAATGGTTGAGGGGTCAGAGTAGGGAGACACCTAGGTTCTACTTGACACATGGAAGTTTGCTAGGTGACATTGAGCCAGTCACTGCCTCTCAGCCCAACATCCTCACAGGGTGGTTGTGGGGAAAAGATAATAGAACACTATACATGTTGCCTTAAGCTCCTGAATGAATGGCAGGGTATAAATTAATTCAAATAAATAAATACATTTTGGCCTCTGTAACTCAAATTATATTTAATATTGCTTAATTTTTGAAACCTTAGCTGATTTTGTAAATTTAGTCAGAAATTTACCAAGCAATACTAGTAGTTTCCTGGTTTAAATCATATCAATCACCATGCAGGAAAATAAGATATGTTATACATCTTAACTCTGGTAAGTGTTAGGCTATGAAGTGACAACACTGACAAACTCAGAGGACTTTGATCAACCCAATGAAAGATGAAAACTGTAGACTGGTATTATAGAACCAGAATTACAGAACAATTGGC